AATAGATAATATATTATAATATTATAACAATATAATATAACATATAATATATATTATAATATAACAATATAATATATTATACACACACACACACACACACACACACACACACACACACACACACACACCCATGCCACCTCTTTCTCAGTCCAAACCCTCCTGTAACTTCCCATCTCTCTTAGACTCAAGACTTCAGTTTCTTACTGATGTCTCTTAGCCGTCCATGGTATATGGTTTGACTCCACCCCCCTCCCTCACTGCTACCATTCTCTCTCTCTTAACTCCAACTGTACTCCCTTCTGGTATCCCTGTGGCCACAAACTGTTACTGCATCTCTGTATAAAGATGGGTCATAGCAGCAGCAGTTCTCTGCCAACTGAGAGTCTCCACCAGTGCCCTGCAAACTGTTAGGACCCACTGAGCAGGTACAAGGAAAGGCCAAAAGGCCCCATGAGGATAAACTCAGTGAGAGAAAATTCACCCTGGCGTGGTACTCTGTATACCCAATTTTCCTTGTTTAGCAATCCATTTTTATCATGCCCCACATCGCTCATGCTAGTGACCTGACAGTCATGTAGTTGGTAACAAACACAGCATTCCCCAAGGAGGTGCATGTACATGTAGAAGATTATTTACTTGCTTTCATCATCATGGTGAGGGGTGACCAGGGAGAAGGCACTGCATGCTGACAGACAGGCTTCTGTGATACCGTGTACTAAAAATTAAATATCGGAGAATATTTACTTTCTAATATTAAATATGGAGCGCAGAGTTCAGCCTCTGAGGTAGATTACGACAAGCCTTGGCGGCTAGGAAGAAGCAAGCGGAAGGCACAGAAACTAGCTTCATTTCTCCTTTTGAAGTTCTGTTTCACACTACAGGCCTGATGTGCCTTTGCTCTGCCCCCTTTGCCCTCCTCTCCCCAAGTCTTGTGATCCCCTTTCAAGTGCTTCTGTTAGATGAACTTCTGTTGAGCTCAGAGATACTGGGACTGTGCGTGCAAGTGTACTTCTGAGAGCCAGAAAGACACCCCAGGCAGTCCACAGGTACTTAGCCACATGGTATTTGATAGCTCCATTTCTGTCAGAGTTCTCTGAATCAGATTGTAATATCCAGACAGTGTATATTGGTCACTGTGGTTTACTTAGTGTTCTGCTCGTTCCTGTAGATGCAGAGATGAATGGTTTTAGCTTTGAGCATGCTAAGAAGCTATTAGGAATTGATAGGAGATGAATAACATATCATGGGTAGTGGGGAGAAGGAGGCACAGAACATCAAAGAGGGCCATCGTACTGGGGGTGCCCCGGGACACTGGAGTGGACACTATGGAAGGGATATTGGAGAAGTTGTTCTTAAAACTAGAAAGGCTATGGTCATTTGAATCTGAGATGATGGGATGTAATTTGGTTCATTTTCCCGGTAGCTGGTGGCCTGGGAATGACCAGTTCCTAGAACATTCTGCTGTATGCCAAAAGAGCTGGTTCCATGAGATTAAGTGCATTTTGATGCCCTGAAATGTACTGTTTTGATATAGCAGGAGATATTATCGTTTAACCAGAGTCATTCATTACTGCAAAATGTAGTTCTTGGATGTCATGTAGAGATCTAAAGAATTGCAGAGCTCACAGGGAAGCAAGTACTGGAAAGTTCTGAGGCCCAAGTCATTGACAAAGTTGTGAAGGACCTAAGGTATGGAAGAGGAGAAAGTTGTCAGGGAAATAGTTGGAAGCAATAAGGTTTGGGAATTAGTAAAAGTTACGATGAAGTGTAGTGAAATCAGGAGCCCTCAGGGTTAGTCAGAACCATTTTTTGGAGGCCTGCTGAGTCGTTCAGGTCAGTGCTGAATCCCTTGCTCCAGTGACTCTCTTGCTTCAGTTTCCTGAGACATTGGGTCTGCAAGCATGGACCACTCATCTAGCTCCAGACGTTTTAACTCTTATGCTTTGTATCCATGCTTCTGTCTTTTCTCAACTGCCTTTTGGAGAACATGAAAAAGAAGCAGAATGATGAGGATGCATGCCCAAACCCTGTTTTTATTTTTAAGCATCAATTTAACCCCTCCGAGTTCAGTACACCTTCAACATTTCAGTTAGTTCTTATCATGATCGAGAAAGCAGATCAAGGCAATAGGAGATTAACAACCCAGAGAGATTAAAGGTCCAAATAAATGCCTTCAGGTCCCTATTAAATGAGAGTCCTGGTCTTCGGACTTCTCTAGTGTTTTGGATGCTGCCATACGATAGTGACAGTCTTTATTAGAACTTATTTTTAAACGTTCAAAACCAGCAATTGTTCCTGCTCTGTGAATCACTAATGTATGCAGCTGTCATGCTGCACCGATGCTCAGCCCGGGCGTGCTTAGGAAAGCGTGCTAAAGTGGGAGTCAGTCATAGTTTGGCTGGCGAGCTAACCTATTGTTGCATTGCAACTGTGACGTTGTTTCATCTTTCTGCATTTTGTTTTGCTCTCTCCTTGATGTCTGCAATGTCTTGGAGCTAAATGTGAATGGATTCATCTAGCTATGTTGTTCTAACTGCACAAATACACCAGGGGCTGGTTTCCTTGGCCAGGCTTATGGTTTGTCTCCAGATATGTACTGCTTTTCCTGTGGGTCTCAGGAAATTAATTTAGGCCATTTTGGGGGGCTTATTTCTATGTCAGACTTCATGTAGGGACTTACAAGCTCATAAATAATTTATTGGTAGATTATATGAATTTTAATTGTAAGTTGTATAAGCAATTGCAGTTAACATTTATTCTTACTAAATGTTGGATGGCTATATTTAGTTTAATAATACTGTGAAGTAAGGTGGGCAAGAAAAGTATGGACACACTGACCTCACACAGATAATGTGAGAAGGTCCAGCCTTTGTACAAAAGTTCTTTGATGAGAGGTCCACACCTTTCCTATCTACGTTATATTATTTATGCAGAAAATAGTATATGAAAGGTCTCTGTTGGTAGGGCACCATTAATGTTGTCAGTTAAAACTCATCATTTCCCCTAAAACAGGGTTGCTTATTCGTTACAATCCATGATGCAGCCTTCACACCAAATCACCAAATGCAGCTCTTCCTCAAATCATGAGAACCAAGTGAGAGCTCCCCGCAGGACGTGTTCCTCAGAGGCCTACAAACTATTCACTTCGTTTGAAGTCAGGCTTGGGATTCATTGTGACATGTCTTATTTGAGCTATATTAAATGTAAGAAAACCTGACAACTATAGAAGTTCAATGTTCATCATTAATTTCAGCTATTAAATTTAGCTTCTGTGACATGCAGAATGTGAACTCTCACAAGGGAGGCGATAGTAGAAGAGACGTGAGGACGAGGTTCTCATTCTACATCTGTAAATTTTCTTACATAGCAAGATCTAGAAACAACTTAGTCTTCAAGGTGTAATATCTAGCTACTTAATCTGTAGTCAACACTAGTTTTGACTAAGTTAAGCTTATAGAGTTTGTCTTTTAAAAAACAACCCATCCAGGATTTATAAAAGTTGTCCATCCCTATTCATTCATTCATTCATTCATTCATTCATTCATTCATTCATTCATATGTTCATCCATTCAGAAACTTTAGAAGACCTTTTATGCCTTGCACTGACTTGCATGTACTTAATTACAGGTGCATTGCAAAGTTGACAAGTTACTACAAAGAGTAGAATCATAATTCGACCCTGATGTCTGAAATTCATTGTCTCTGAACATGTGGTTGGTTTGATACCAGTCAGGGGAGATCTCTAAACCAATTTATAGATGGATGTTTAAGCAGGCAAAATAGGCAGATGGCTGATGATGGTGGTGACATCATTGTATTTGGGGTGTTTAGGTCCAAAAGAAAGCTGAAACATTTTGGTGTTTTTAAGAAAAGACCCTCAGTGTGCTAGGCCAGCCTTCAACCCATTCATTTATGCTCCTAGTGCTCCATAGCTAAAAGGAAGTTGAATCATAACTGGGAGAGGTCAAAGCTGATATTACAGCTGGGCCCCACAGAAGCACCCGGGAAGCCACTTCTACATTTGGGGTCACGATGGGGCTGGGGAAGGGAGTTAATGGGTAAAACCTGGTTTTTGTTCACAATCCCTCTTTTGCTTTATGTTTGAAGAAAGGGCACTGTGACTAAAAGAAATCTCAAAAAGAAAAAGTTCATTGAAGCCAGGTCATGTGTTTTATTAATGAGCAAATTAGAGCTCAATCTCAAGGGGAAAAAGTCACAAGAGAGAGTGAACGTAGTATACTGAGTCCACCTGGCTGAGCAGTGGTCTATTTTGCGTGGGCATTAGGTAAGAATAAAATTAGTTCTGATGGTTGAAATTAACAACAAATTGTGACTGGGAGGACTGAAAATGATGATGGGGACTTTGGGGCTGCAAATGGAACTTGTAAGAGAATTAGGTGCTCATGTACCACAAAAATAGACCAGTAGATAATCTCTAAAATTGACAGCGAGGAATAAATGGCATGCTAAATATACTGCTTTAAATGTAGGAGAAAATGCATGAAAATATAGAAGAAAATTGAGGTGTTTTCCTATTGAAAAGAGAAGCAAGGCATTGCTATTTTCTGTGTATCTGTTACTCTTTTAGCAAATAATATTAAATCTGTTTTAGAAGAGGGATGCTGGGTTGCAGGTTCATTTTCCATGCATACTTCCTACTCTTGGCAAATAATTACAGATGTTTTAAGAGGGCCATACTTTGGAAGAGAAAAATGAGGATATGAGACTTGGAACTGTACATTAGGTAGTACAGGAATTGAGGCTTAAGAGTACAAATATGTGGAACAGGGCTTCCCAATAAATCTCTTAAGCATTTGGTTAGTTGTAGGGGCCCTCTCTAAGTTATTCCAGGCATGGAAGGTACCTTGAGAAAGAGGAGAGCTTGACTGTGCATATGTTTGAAAACAGTCTATGCTTAAAAGTAGATGTCTCTGATAGTTCCTGGTTTTCCTGCTCCCTAAACACTGTTGTTGATGTTTTCTTGTTGTTCTTTAAAACAGGGAAATGCACATAAAATCATGGAGAAGTGTACATTACCACTGACGGGAAAGCAGTGTGTCAACCGCATTATTACAGAAAAGGTAAAGTACCTTCCTCTTTTGATTCTACTCACATCAGCTGCCTTCTTTCTTATTTTATTTAGAGACACATTTGAGGCTTTTTAAAAACTATCATCTAAAATTATGGAATGGGAAAATTAATGTCTCTAAATGTAGACTTGCTCATGTACAACTCTCTGGAATTACACACACAAATGGGAACTCGTACGCTGGGTAGCTTTCACAGTTTGCTCTAATCAGAGAAGAGCTTTCTTGAGCCTTAAATTTGGACTCTTAAGATGTCAAGATGGATGATCTATATAAAGTTCAGAGTGTTCTTCTCTTTCTTTCTTGTCTGCCAAAATCACACAAATACACTGTTGGGTTTTGATTTTAGGAAATTCACACACAATTGAGTTTGAGTTACTTGGGCATGAGGTACAGTATAGACCTACAATGGGTCAAGACATTCTGCTTTTTACATGGCTTCTGATCTTTTTATGAAGTGGACTTCAGAACACACCTACCACCTCTATGCCTCTGTATTTTGTTTCATAAATGGAAAACTTTGGCCAACTATACAGTTAAAACTGTTCGTATCATAGAAGTAGTTGTGATAGCTGTCCACAGCCAGATTCCTATCCCAGATTTGAACTTAGGAAGTGGGAATGGCGTGATTCCCGCATGTCATCGGGGAAGGTGTTTTTCTTGATGAAGCCACAGGACAGAATTGCCTGTTTGAGTTTTTCCTCCTTCTCAGTGATGCCTTTCTTTTTTAACCAGAGTTGTATGGCGGTAGTATCTCACAGTGTCTGTCTCACTAGCCTTCTTTACAACATGGGAAGAAACACCCTAAAGTGTGCTCTATGGTAGGTTAAGTATGCAACACTTCCAGAAGCTGCATTTTCAAGGAAGGTTCCAGCTGGTCGGGCATTCCTGAGATTGTGTGGAATTCCATAAACGTGCTGTATGGAGAACAAGTGCACCACAGTCATTGTTATGTCTTGAGTCTCCTCTAAGCTATGGACAGGGCCTGTTGAGAAGAACCATTGCTTTGCAGTGAAGACAGAGTCGTCCTCAATCCTGATTTCTTTAATACAAGGGTAGCCCTGACCAGGAGTCTTCTAGCACTGTTGTTCTCCAACCCAATCCCCACCCCCCACCATCCCCCACCCCTGCATCATCCCCCACCCCCAGTAAGCCTCTCCCTGCTGCCCTGCCCTTGGCTTTCCAGGTCTCCTACCTACAGAGCCTCCTACTCCTCATTCTGCTCTCTTGCATTCCACCCATCCTTGAAGCCTAGCTACAGTTTCCACCTGCATCACAAAGGGGCTTCTCATCCTCTTAGTGCACAGTGATCGCATCCTATTAGTGGACCACTGTCCCTACCATTCACTCCAGCATGTTGATACCTAGGATATAACCTTTATGGGTGATAAAGCTGAATGACACTTCAAGCCCCTTCTATTCTTACTTTCTCTGTTCTTGCATGTTGTTTCATTCATCCGATAAACTTTTCTTTGGAGGACCTTCTCTGAGCCAGACGGTTTCTAGCAATGACTTACGAAAAGGAGGGGAGGTTGCAGTCCCTCATCAGAAGACCCATTCCATAGGATGAGACGGCAGGCATCCAGCATCTCCAGCAGCCGGAATAACAAGCTCCAGAGAAGTCACGGTGTGGCACACACCAGATGCCATGTTAGGAACTCATGTGGTAACCCAGCAGTAACTAAGGACTGCTTTTGGATGGCATCGTACACAGCATTTCCCAAGTGCCACCTTTTATAGTCAAGTCTCTCTGACTTAGACTCTCCTGCCTTAGCCGTATTAAAAATGCCAGGAACTCTGTTGCATTCTCCCCTGGACCATGTGCTTCTGGGCCTGCACATTCCCTACCACTCCCTGGAATGTTCTATCTATCCATCCGTCTGTCTGTCCATCCATCTATCCATCCATCCATCCATCCATCCATCCATCCACCCATTCACCCATCCATCCATCCATCCCTGCTTCCTGTTTGTCTTTTGTCTCAGGCATGCATCTTTCTGTTTCTCTGTCAAGTATCTCTTCTCCCTCCCTGCATGTCTTGTGAGTACTTCCCTGAATCCCGTGCTTATCCTAACTTAGCACTGACAGCTGTATTGAAAGGACCTCAAACCTCTGCCTATTTCCCTCAATACTGCTCCCACAACACCTCGCGTGGTAACTGATCTGGACCCAGTCTTCTCATTAAATAGAGGGGTCATACTTACCCCGCTGAGAAAACTGATAAGTGGAACAGTGAGTCTTGAAAGACAAATTGGAGTTTTATGATCGAAAAGAAAATCAAAGAAGACATCACAGGCAAAGGAGAAACCCATGAGAAGTCTCAGAGGGGTGAAGAAAGCCCAGCCTGTTCAAGAACCTGCAAAGGGGACAGCTTAGAGCAAGGGGACAGCTGTATTCTGAACTCCAGCAGAAAATACTGTGAGGGATCAGGTCAGGGAAGGATGTGGATGCTCTCCTAAAAATATGATTCTTATGAGGAGAGGTACGGGGAGCCCTTCAGCAGTTCTCTTATTAATTAGGAAACCACTTTGCATTAGTCAGAGCACTGTAACTTTTGTTTTTTCTAAAAGACAGAGGAGGAGGAGAGACAAATGTAATTAAAAGGGCCCATCAATGGACTAGGTAAGAAACGCAAAGGATCCCAAATCACAAACCAGAGGGATAGTCCAGAGAGATTTAGGAGATGGGACTCAGCCTAATTGGATGAGTAGGGCACAGCTGGTAAGACAGGTGAGCCCTACATTTTCTAGCAAGAGAGAATGTCTGAGCTGCTGTGTCCTGGCAAAGCTCGAGAACGCAGGAGGAGGAAGAGCAGTGGGAGGCAGGGAAAAAAGAGGTTTAGTTTGACACCTTCCATTTTACATTCCTGAGTTTTTGAAAAGAGACAATGGGAGATTTGGATCTAGGGTTCCAAGGAGAAGTCAGCACTGGAATAAGCTAGTGAGAATCCTTAGCGTGTGGCCACAATCAGAACATGGACTTACAGTGAGAAAGGAAAGTCAAGGCAGCTAATCTGAATCTTTGGCATCTCAGGGAAGGAAGCTGCCTGTTTACCTCCATGAGTCCTACAGAACAGATGCTCTGTAGATGCTGGATGAGTGGATGCAGTGCTCCATAGATGCTGCTGGATGAGAGGATGAGGATGCAGTGCTCCATAGATGCTGCTGGATGAGAGGATGAGGATGCAGTGCTCCATAGATGCTGCTGGATGAGAGGATGAGGATGCAGTGCTCCATAGATGCTGCTGCTGGATGAGAGGATGAAGATGCAGTGCTCCAAAGATACTGCTGCTGGATGAGAGGATGAGGATGCAGTGCTCCATAGATGCTGCTGCTGGATGAGAGGATGAGGATGCAGTGCTTCATAGATGCTGCTGCTGGATGAGAGGATGAGGATGCAGTGCTCCATACATGCTGCTGCTGGATGAGAGGATGAGGATGCAGTGCTCCATAGATGCTGCTGCTGGATGAGAGGATGAGGATGCAGTGCTTCATAGATGCTGCTGCTGGATGAGAGGATGAGGATGCAGTGCTCCATACATGCTGCTGCTGGATGAGAGGATGAGGATGCAGTGCTCCATAGATGCTGCTGCTGGATGAGAGGATGAGGATGCAGTGCTTCATAGATGCTGCTGGATGAGAGGATGAGGATGTAATACCATTAAAAGCAATGGCAGTTAAGGAACCAGAATTCCATAATCAGCACCAAGGAGAATTCCATTAGGTTGCCCTTTGAAAGTAATTAGAGTTGTTTCCTGTTGTATGGATCAGGTTATAAAAGATAGCTTCCCCATCAGCACCTGGCTATAATAACTGTCAGATCCATAATGTAGCCTTTATGGTAGTAATAAAGTAATTAACTTACTTATCTGTAAGACAAGGTAGTTTCAGTATCATTTTTGATTAGCAGTTAACAATTCAACTTTTAGGTTTTACTCTCTATTTTTATCAAATTTTTGTTTGCCCCTTAGACTACCAAATGAATCCCAGTTCCTCTTCAATTTCAGTCATCATGTCAGTAACATCAACCATGTTATCAAACAAACATGGGAAGTAAGCATCCCTTTGTCCTGCGATGTTCCTTCTGGAAAAAAAACTCTAAACCGACTGGAGACAGTAATTCTCTTAGGCCTTTGACTTGGCTTAGGCAGTCTGCTAAGGGATAGCAACACGCCTATACTGTGGCCCGGACATGGTCCCGAGAATGTATTATTCTCCTGTCTGTATCTGGCACCACAGCCGCAGGGAGGCATTCCTGTGCTCTCTGACCGTGGTTGCAAAGACAGGCTCCCCAGGCCGCTTAGCTGTTATGCAGCAGAGCTGTGTGACAGGCCAGCTCAAAAGCCGGCGCGGCGCTCCTTCTCTGCATGTCGCCTACTCGCTCACAGTGTATTTAAACACGACGATTTAGGGTTTGACTTGAAAGGTAGTTGAAAAATAAAGATCAAAGACTACAAATGATAGGTAAATTTAAGTTAAATTCATGGAAGAAAACCTGGGAAATGTAACCTTTAAGTCTGAGAAGGGAAACTCCCTATGAGAGATGGCAGAGGGTCATGTTACTGCACAGAGACCTGTAGAGCAGGGTTTGAAGCCCCAGAGAAGCAGCTGGGTCTCCCAATGAAAGCTTTTTTTACTAGCAGACAATCTTCCCCAAGAAGTAAGTACCCCAGAACTAAGCAGGTCCCAGAAGTCATTTGAGAAGACTCCGGAAGAATTCTCAAGTAGGAAGCTCTAGTGAATGCTTTGTAGACCCCTTCCACTGAAGTCAAGTGATGCTATGGTGGTACCATGACCGGTTGGTACTGTGGCCATGACGTTGGGATGGATTGTTCAGGCAGGGGTGAGCATTCCTGTCTGTCTTAGACACTACCACTACCATTTGATGTGCTCACCAAAAGGCTGTGGGTTCTCATGCCCTCCTCTTGAGACCCATGTGTTTTCTTGGGAATTTAGAGGTTGAAGAAGAGCTTTACCACTGAGAATTTGAACAGCTACTTAGTGGAGTTGGCTGGGCTTTCCGGGCCAGGGCAACTTTTATTTCATAATTACTCCTGGGTACTCTAGTGTCTTCTTTTGTTTCCTCCAGTCGTTTACCCAGCAGCCTTTCCCCATCATCCCCATCCTTTCTCTTTCCAACTCCACCCTGCCTCGTTCCCACTTTGTTCAATCCTTTCCCTCTTCAGATCGTTGGTCACCTCTCTGGCCTTCACCCAATGTGTTAGAGTTAACAAATGGAAGACAGCTTAAAAACAAACAAACAGATGGGCGGTGGTGATGGCACACGCCTTTAATCCCAGCACTCGGGAGGCAGAGCCAGGTGGATCTCTGTGAGTTCGAGGTCAGCCTGGTCTACAGATCCAGGGCAGGCACCAAAACTATACAGAGAAACCCTATCTCAAACAAACAACCAAACAACAACAACAAACAAATAACCCCCAAACTGATTACAGTGCTAGAAGATGCCAACTGTAGCCACCAACTAATGGCTGGTTAAGGAGTTGGTATTATTTGTAACAGTTATAGTGGACATTTTTTTCATTGTTGGTTTTCAGTCTTTGATCCTTGATCTTACTTCTCTTCTAGGAACTTGAAAGTCCGTCTCTTTGTGTGTGACAGTTTTCACGATGGAAATGGTCCTTGTCATTTTCTTGATTTCCCACAGGGTGTGTTTGACGTGGATAAGAAGAACGGGCTGACACTGATTGAGCTCTGGGAAGGCCTGACTGTTGACGACATAAAGAAGAGCACCGGCTGTGACTTCGCAGTAAGTGTTCCTGTGAACAGAGCCAGCCTGGCGCCGAACCACAGGCTGGGTGAATAAATGGTTCCAGGACACAAACCGTTCGCTTCTGTGAGTGTAAGGAGCTGGTCTGAGCAGGCCTAGGAAAGGGCGCCTCCTATGAGAGCTGGTAGAATAGTAAGTGTGTGACTCAGGCCAGGGCTGTCAGGTATGAGACAGGAACAGGAGGACACAGCAGGAGCTAAAGGGGACAGAGGACAAGCTCCTGCCCATCTGCCTTGTGTGAAGTCCTGGGGGCCATCTGTTCTTGATGTGTAGCTAATCTTGATGTCAGTCACTTATGGAAAAGTAATGCTTCCTTATACTTCCTTATTCTTACACACATCTGATGATGACATCCTCCTTGACTGAGTCATTTCTGTGCCTTATAGTCCATCCATTAGAGATATTAGACTGTAAGAAGTGCAAACTCGTTTTTTTCTACTTGTAGGAAGATAATAATGCACAGAAAACTCAGAGTTGGAAACCCAGTAATTATATAGGGAGGGTTCCTGTTAAAATTTTTGTACTTACACTTATTTATTTATACTTTAAAATTATATTTATTTATTTATTGTGTGCGTATAAAGGTGCTTATTGCAAATCACCAGTCACCTTCCTGTTGGGGTTGACAGCTGGATGCAATTAACCTAAAGTTAATCGAAGGTGAAAGGAATAGATATGTCTCTAAAACAGTGAAGGACAGAACCCATTTTTAATTACAATGAAATATAATGAGATGAAGTTAGGAAAGCCCATGTTTTACAAAAATTATTTGATATGCTAGCCATAGATTTCATACTTAACTTCCTGTGCACACAGGCTTGGCTTGTATCTACAAGTGCATAACAAATTTCTTTGAAAGGACTTTGTTGTATAATTCATTATGTACATAGTAACCACTCCTGGTACTGTACCAAGGTCTTTTGTTTACTAACCTTTTCTGAATTTCCCTTTGGAAAAAAGAAGCAGTCTCCCAGCAATACCTTGCTTCAAAAGCAAATTTTAATTAGCTTTCTTATAACCTCAGGGAGAAGAAAGGGGATGTATTTATACTTGAACTGTTTAAGATTTCTTACTCCAGTGAAACAAGCAAACCGTTCTTAATCAGCTGGTTTTTTTTTTGTTTTTTGTTTTTTTTTGTTTTTTTTTTTTTTTCCGTTCTGTGTGGAATAGGAACCCTCTGTCAGGTAACACCTTCAGAGATCCGCAGAAATTTTGGTTTCTGCTGCAAAGGAACATGCAGCACAAGACCTTCATTATCTAGCTGTTTGTTTTTCATATGGGTAAATCAGAAAGAAAATGTTGCTGTTTTTGTTAGACATACATGGGGGAGGAGGACCGAGTGTGCACACTCGGCTAGTTTTCCTATCTTCATAGATAAGAAATTGTCTCCACGGTCCTTCTTGTTTTCCAGTATCCTCCCTTCCTTTTACTATTACTACACTGATAGGAAAATTGACTTCTTTAAGGGGTATATTTGGATGTTTTAATATCTGTATGGATTGTATACCTGTCAGGATAAACATTCCTGCCCCCAGGCATGTCTTTGTAATAGAAACATTTAAAATCCTTTCTACCAATGTTAGGACGTACATAAGCACGTTGCTGTTATAATTATATATATAATTATATAATTAATATGCAGTCACGCCACCGCACAGCGGCACATTGCACATTCTCACTCCTAACAGTAGCTCAGCACTCAGTGTTGATCCAGCTGATCCCTCTCTCCATTCTCCTCCCAGCGTCTGGGAACCCCCATTCTACTGGTGGCTTCTCTGACTTCACACTTTTTTCTATTCTACATGCAAGTGAGATCATGCAATACTCATTTTAACGTGCTTGCTTGTTTATTTCGCTTAAAACATTGACTGCCAGTTTCATGGACGTTGCCCCAAAATTCAGCGATTCATTTTTTATTACTAGATAGCATTCTGTTGTGCATGGATACCATTTTCTATATCCATTCATTAGGTGGTAGGCGTTCAGGTTGTTTCGATTTCTTGGTTCTTATGACTAGGGAATGTAGTTGTATCGTTGGTGTAATGGCCTTGGCTCCTTCATAGTGAGGTTGCTAGGTCATGTGGTGATTCCATTTTTAATTTGTTGAGGAAATCTTATAGTGATGTTCCCAGTGGCTTTGCCATTCTGTTCCTACAAGTGTCCCTGCCGTATCTTTGCCAGTACTTTTTCCTTCATGATGTTATACTTGGGCTTAGCAGAAAGACCCAGAGCATCTTTGTCTCTCTGGTAATAGCTAATCTACCTGGTTGAGCTGGCATCTCATCATGGCTTTGATTTTTATTTCTTTCATGACTAATGATTTTGAGAATTTTCATATAACCTGTTGGCTTTTTCTATGTTTCCCTTTCATGTCTATGTAGATATGTTATACACTTTTTGTTTGTTTGTACATGTGTTTGTTTTGAGACAGGGTTTCTCTGTGTAGCCCTGGCTATCCTGAAATGTATTCTGTAGACCAGGCTGGTCTGGAATTCAGTGATCCTCCTGCCTCTGCCTCCTGAGCGCTAGGATTAAAGATACGGCGCCCCCACACCCAGCCATGTTGCCCATTTTTAATTGGATTATTTGAGAAATGCTTTTGCTATTGAGTTGTTCAGATTCCATATATGCATTCCGGATATTAACTTTTTGTTGTATGTGTGTTAGCTGTTAATCCTTTGTGAGAGCATACCGCATGGAGTCTTGCCTCTCTGTACCTTGCTCACTCTGTGGCTCATTCCCTCTACTCTTTAGTTGATACAATCTCATTTGGTTTTGTTTTATTTTTTTTTTCCTCCTGTGCCTTAGTTTCTCCTCGATTAAAAAAGAAATATCCTTGCTAATTTCAAAGTCCTGAAGCTTTTGCCTCGCTTTCTTCTGGTGGTTTTGTAGTTTAAGAGTCTTGTATTTTGTAATTGGTGATTGACAGATGGGGCAGGGGGGTCTGATTCAGTTTTTGCACATGGATATCCACGTATTGAGAAGCCTGGCTTTCCTCAGTGTTTTCAGTTTGTCATTATTTGTTAGTGCCTTTGTCAAAAGCAGGTGACTTTAGATGATGATTGGACTTAGTACTCGAGTACTTAGTATGCACGGTCTATGTCTGCTTTCTAAGAACACCACACATATATTTCAGTTGCCATCGATTTACAGCATATTTTACATTCAAATATTGAAATGCTTCCTACTTTGCCCCTGTGGTTCAAACCGACCTTGACGATTCAAGGATTTTTGTGGTTCTACTTAAATTACAGCGTTGCTTCTGGTTCTGTGAAGAAAGTGACTGGTATTTTGAAAAAGAACTTCATAGCTGGAGGGGTGGCTCAGTGGTTAAGAACGCTTGCTGCTCTTGAGAAAGACAACTTCAGTCTTAGTCCCCCATACATAGAGGCTTCAACCTCTGTAACTCCAATTCCAGGGGATCCACTGCCCTCTTCTGGCCTCCACAGGCATTGGACACACACATGGTGCATGTACACACATGCAGGCAAAACACTCATACAATGTTTTTTTTTTTATAAAGCACCACATTGGCTCTCTATATTACATTGAATAGGGTATATATTTTTAACCATATTTGTTCTTCCAATCCATGAGCATGAGATAGCCTCCCATTTCTTTTTACCATATTCGGTTTCTTTAGGGCATTATAGTGTTCTCCTCTGCTTGGACATTTGGGTTACCTCTCCCTCTTCACTACTGTGAATATTGTCGTTATAGACGCTGGCATACAGTATTTCTTTGAGATCCTGTTCTGAAATGTTTTGGACATGTCCCCAGGAGTAGGATTACTGGGTCACGTGCAAACTCCATTTTCAATTCTGTGAGGAACTTCCATGCCCTTTCCCTACTGGCTGTATTCTAACCACCATTCTCAGGGCTTTCATTTGCATTTCTCTTACAGTCACTGGCTTACAGAATCATTTGTATATTGGCCATCTGAGTATCTTTTTTGAAGAATCATCTGTTCAACTGCCTACTTTTAAATCAAGTTATTGTTCTTTGCTGACTTATAAGCTATCCTTATATATTCTGAGCATTAAACCCCTTTTTGGATACATGACTTAGTTGATTGTTTTCTTTGACATATAGAAGTTTGTAAGTTGGATACGTTTGTAAGTGGCTTATTTTTGTGACACCATGACCCAATATTTTCCTAACTAAAGAGTCTTGTTTACTTTTTTCCCCTTGTGCTCACATTTTGAAAGAAGGATTTTCCAAAATACTTATCAAATAGTAATTAACCTGGCCTACTCACCAAGGGCCACAACCCCAAACAAAAATGACTTCCCTTGCCCAACAGCCATCGATTGCCAATAGTTTTTCAGCTAGGTGTGCAGTTTCATGAGTTTCTCTCCTAACCATGTGGGAATGACTTGACCTCCTGCACTGATACTTTTAATTTTGTCTATACTTGTATTAGTCATTGTGTGCTTGATGGGCCAAAGTGGGGAGGGGGGAGTGATTTCTTACCACTTAAAGTCCATTATCTCTGAAATGTCATTTGCAGTGTATATTAAGTTAAATTGGTTATTCACTTATTTATTTCCTGAATGAACACTTAACTTATGCAAAATAGGATTTCTTTATTCTGTATCTGTTGATCACTTTTGAAACTTAATATTTCCTTCAGTCTTTATTGTTTAATTTTAAAAAATTAAAAATGAATTGAAGCCATATTTGAACATCCTGTGGTAGAATAAACTTTAATTTTTTTCCTCTTTCTTTCACCAGGTTTCACCAAAACTCATACCAATGCAGCAGATCTCAACTTGAAATGTGGAGTAGACATTTGTCCCAAGATGCTAAGATTTCATTTTGAACACATAGGATTTAATTGAAAGGATGTCATAATCAAAATTATGTATTTAACAAGAAGTTTTGACTAGTTTTCTTCTAGTATCTCTGGATTTGTGCAGCCATAGACTGTTCTTTTGAGTGTGTTCTAACATTTCCATGAAAAAGAAAAGGAAGACATTTCATTGAGGTCTTGTTTCATAAGTGCTAAGAAGGTTGTCTTCACTATTGGTGCTCACATTGGATGTGTGTTCATCTTTTATGCTGTATATACTAGACCGTGACTTAGCAGTCCTGAAAGAAAATTTTCATGTGAATTTGTGATTAGGCAGAATACTTTTTCATGACTATATATCTTTTACTTTCCTCTTTTTTTGAGAGAAAGATCTGATTTGGTGATTATGCTTGCCTCTTTAGAACATCCTCCTTACCTCCACACTTCTTATAGTGAAATATATCTAATTAGATACCCAAGAAGGCAAACAGGGATGTCTCTGGGAGAAGTAAGCAGAAGAAAGAACAAGGCATAGGATCTACCAGTGCTGGCATCCCACCAGACGTTGCCTTTATAGACAACCAACTGTCTACCTATGTGCACTAACAACTGAGGCTAACTATGGGAAGAGGACTAGAAACATACTTAAACTAGTTCTTCTATTTTAAGTGCCATGCTATGTATTCAGAAGACTCTATTTCTGTTATTGAGCCCTGGTGTTTACTTATACAATATCTCCTAAGCAAAGAAGAACTGTGGGCAATTTATCATGAGTCCTAAATCACAATGGCAGCAGAATTTACAAAAAACGTTCTTCCAAGATATTTCTCTTTTAGGCTCTCCATTCTGCTCAGCAAAGATTCTAAACCGTGAATGACTTTTTCTACAGAACCCTGGTATGTCCTCTACTTAAGCTACTTCTCTTAACAGAGTGCTATTACTTTAGCCTTATGTGAGTAGGAAAATGATGGGAGAGTCTCAGATCTGAGTAGTCAGCAAACTCTTTGTGCTGGGAAATGAACATGGTGGCTTGGGTTTATAAGGGATGCTTCCCCAGAAGTAGCCTCAGTACCAGACAGTTGCCCAGAAGCGTCAATTCAGAAGCTCCCTCGGTATCAGATGTGTGAAAGTCTAGGCACCCTGAAGCCAGGCTGGACAGCTGGTGTCTACGTGGTGAAATATACTGTTCTTATGTTACTAGTTATAGGAATGTATGCATGTTTTAGGTGGTGGTTGTCATTAAAACTCACTTCTCCTCAAGTATAGCCACAGCTATCCTGTACAGTTTGTGAAGGAGAAGACAGGCTTTTCCCCCATAATACTCTCTCTGTAGTACTGCTTTTCTGTCTGGCTGCATGGTTGAAAGCATCCACTGCCAGTACTGATAAGAAGAACCCTTCTTAGAAGGCACAAGGTCCATGAGAGTAAATATGTCTATGTTAGAGTCAACACTTGAAAATATTATTATTGTTGATATTGATATGTCTTCAGATGCACTTGCTTATCATTCCAGTCTGTTACTTTAAGACAAGGGGATTCTAAGAATGTTCCAAACATTGTCAACGCATGAATAGATAACTTAAGATTCTTGCTCAGAGTGCCATGATATTTTTAAAAATCCGTTAAGTGCTACAATAAAAATTGCAAATTGACAGATATCAATGTGTTTGTTTTCTTTTTTCACTTGGGAATGGTATGGTTCCATGTGGGGAAATACAACAAAGGTTGGTAGAATGGCCAAATATTAGGTCAGCATGCTTTTACTTCTAATCAAGTCATTACTGTTTCTTTCTCCCTCCCCCCCCTTTTTTTCAGGGGGTGGGGGTTGGTGAAACAAGGTCTCTCTATGTAGTCCTGGCTGACCTGGAACTCACTATGTAGACGGGCTGGCCGTGAACTCATGGAGATCTACTGGCCTCTGTTTCCTGAATGCTGGGATTAAAGGCATGTACCACCATGCCTGGCATTAACTTTTCTTTTTGCCTTACCAAATAGATAAATTTATATTCTAGGAAAGGCAAAAGAAACATTACCTAAATGAATTCTGCTGTATCTTGCTTCCTATCACAGCCAGTCATGTCTGTGAAAATTGATTATCAAACCTGCTGTGGGATGTATTTCTGTATGCTGTGAATATGTTGCTCCCATTGGCTATAAATAAAATTGCATTGGCCTATGGCAAGACAGCTTAGAGGCAGATGGGAAAATCCAAGACAAAAAGAGGGGAAGAAAGGCAGAGGCAGAAGAGATGCCAGCCTGCCACCCAAGGAGCAGCAAGATACCAGCAGACTGGTAACGCCACAGCCACATGGCAAAACATAGATTAATAGAAATGTGTTAATTTAAGATGAAAGAGCTAGCTAGCAAGAAGCCTGCCATAGGCCATACAGTTGGCAATTAATATTAAGCCTCTGGATGACTATTTTGTAAGTGGCTGAGGGAACTTGGGGCTGGGGGAACTGGAGGAACTCAGGACCACAGGACCAGGAGGGACCTGAGAAAACTTAGGGCTACACAAACCTTCATATTTATTTATTTTGCTTTATCTGACATTTTCCTTTATAGTACATTTCCATTAATCAAGTGGCATTTTGAGTTTTATTGCAGTTTTAAATGTCTTCTTGTAATCCATTGCCTCTCTACTAACAGTCTTTTCTTCCTAGCCAAAATCCTAGAATTGGAGATTTCTTTTTTCTTTCTTTTTTTTTTTTTTTTTTTTTTTTGGTTTTTCAAGACAGGTTTTCTCTGTGTGGTGCTTGCTGTCCTGGAACTCACTCTGTAGACCAGGCTGGCCTCGAACTCAGAGATCCGCCTTCCTCTGCCTCCTAAGTGCTGGGATTAAAGGTATGCTCCACCACCACCCAACAAGGGGACAGGTTTCTAAGATAGGTCATTCTTGATAGCTCCCCTCTGTCCACTCTGTCCAGGAGTTGTACCAATCACATTATTTCTCCCATGTTCAAACACAGTGAGAGAAAAGAGTTTTATTCCTCTTCTTTCCAGAAGCTGGAAGAATGTGATCTGGCATTAGCACCCAGTCCTCTGATAAACACATACATATGAACGCACATTACTGCTTTGTAAATGCAAAGAAAGGAGTTGACACACAGGAACTGTGGAAGGAACATTCTGTTTGTACCCTGGCCCCAAGTTCTGGTTATACCTAAGCCAGTTCCCTCCAGCATATCTATAAACCAGCTTCCAAGTCTTCCATTTTGTTTGTCACCTGCCAACACAATATATATTCAGCTTTTGTGGTTCTTGAGTTCTGTGTGGGGCCTGACCTCTGACAGATGTGCATAATATGAGAAGAACAGGCTGTACACTGAGTCCAGAAGACACAAGCATGGGTGTGGGGGCTACCAGTGGGTAGTAGGTTTAAGTTGAAAGGCTACAGTTGTACCCTCTAAAGGCCTGCTGTATACCAATGGAAATTAAGCAGAGGTTTAATCAGTGGATTGGTTTCTTTGACGTTAACATTCCTTTTTTATATAAGCTATGATCTGTCATTTCTTAAGCTTACTTTTGGATCATCTATCTTTAAAATACGATTATACTGTTTTTCGTGGTGGTTCCATAAGATGAAATTAATATATTTGACCTCAAAAAAGTCTTACAGATCTTTCAAAAACACTGTATCGTATTAGTTTAGTGTGGAATTAATTGGTCCTATTCTTAGTCTTCAGTGTCTACCCTGCCTGGCTATTGGAAGCCATATTAATATCAAATATCAAGATAAGCATAAATACCAATAATGGTAATTTCTTCAGGTATATCTGTGTGACATACTTGAAGTCTCTTCCATCTAAAAAGTTAGACATGTCTAGCTGTGGAATCTTCCAGAGATATTTTGTGAATCACTCAGCATCTTTGAGATCTCTGGATAACTAATTAGACAGATGAGTCCTTTCTGCAATCATGTTTTATTGTGGAGGCTAAATAGGCTTGATTGTGGTCACTGTGATCTTTAATGAAGCACTCTTGTGGTAGTTTGGATGTAATTAGCCCCCATAAGCTCATAGGGAATGGCACTATTGGGAGGTGTGGCTTTGTTGGAGTAGGTATGGCCTTGTCATAGGAAGTATGTCACTGTGGGGTCAGGCTTTGAGGTTTCCTATGCTCAAGATACCACCCAGTGTCACAGACCATTTCCTGTTGCCTGCAAGATGTAGGACTCTGAGCTACTTCACCAGCACCGTGTCTGTCTGCACGTCACCATGCTCCCCACCATGGTGATAATTTAATAGACTGAACCTCTGAGATACAAGCGAGCCACCCCAATGAAATGTTTCCCTTTATAAAAGTTGCCATGGTCATGGTGTCTCTTCACAGCAATAGAAACTGTAAGACAACCCTTTGGAAGGGACCTCAGGCTACTGTATCCTGGCTCTTCTGTAGCATGGCTTGCAGTATCTCAGTTAACAAACTGTGGGATCCTGGCGTCAACATAGCTCATTTTGTGTCTGGCTCACTGCTTTGCAGTAATGCATTCCATTTGTTAACTTTATTCAGTTCAGGAGGAAAGTGAGTCCAGAAACTCACATCTAAATCCTGTTTCTCCTGGAGCCATGCTTTTGATTTAGCGTGAGAGGAAGTAGCATCTCCCACTTTGTTTTTCTGGAATTAGAATGCCTTATACCCTCTCAAGATATGGTCTACAGCTCCCAACTTTTGCACACAGTAGTGGCAAGAGTTAAAGAGTTGTGCTGCTTCTCAGGCAGATCTGCCAAAATCAGTGTGTGTATGTGTGTGTACATGTGCATGCACACCCACTGTGTTCTCAATGTGTATGCCTGTTTAACAACTCCATGGCTGGCCATCGCTGGCCTGTGATAGTTTTCTAAATATGTTGAATTAACCTAGCAGTTGAAAACATGGTTAATTTTAAGTCAGGCTTGGTTAAATAGTGATATAATATCTCTTAGGAATATGTACGGGGTGGGGGGAGGGCAGGAATGGAACCTAGGGACTGTCACAAAGGAATAAACAGTCCTGAAATACCTATATTTGTTTAAATGCTTTATAATTTACAAATCACTCAGAATATGTGAGGTAGCTTATCTGATTTTCACAGTAATTTGCCAGGGAGACATTATTACAGCCATTAAAATTAACTTGATTAGCCTGTGAGAAGTAATGTCCACTAGTTCTTTAATCAAATGAGCCTTTCTAGGCTAATGTTGAATTCTGCCAAGGTAGTTCATGAGATGCAAATTAAATTCCCTGACTAGAACTAGATTTGCTGCTCTCTGGTTAAGCCATAAAATAAAGTCCACACCCTTCAAACCTAATGGGATAAATATTCTAATTTTGTTCCCTCTGTTCACACTACTCTTGTGCATAACCTAGTTTATGGTGAAATGGATAGTTCTTAAGACAAAACTGATAATACAAGAAAGTGTTTCTGTGGCTGATGTCTGATCACCCAGATCTATTCACTTGAAAGGCTTTGATTGGATAACCAGGGGTAAGAAAGCTCATGTGACAGCAGCAGGAAGGACTGACAGGCTGAAACCATTTCTGAAATTCTACTTCCTGGGTGCTACCCATTCCTCATGTTTGAAATGTTATACATCAGACTGATTCAGATGAACTCCCTGAGAGAAGGCTTGACCTAATGAGGTCAACCATTCCTTTTTCAAGAGAGAAAAGATCCGTATAGAGAAGAAGGCTAGACACATAGGAGACTGAGATGCTTGCTGGGTGATGGGATGCATGAGGAGACCTGCTCAGCAAGGCAAATGTAAATTTAAGCATTACTGTCACATTTCTTGGAATGTAAGGCATTGACATGTATAAAATACAACATGCTTTTGTTTACTCTTTCATCATTGAGAAATTGTATTGTACACATAGTAAGAATTTTTAAATTTCTTACCAGTCCCAGAGGGATTCATCAAGTATTCCCTCCTCACTGACAAAAGGGTCATTGATGAATGTTTGGTGTGACTGATAGGAAACCCAGGCAGTTAATGGACCAAGGAAATTGCCTATCTAAAGTCTGTGCATTTGGAATCCAGGGGCTTCTTCATGATCAGAGATAAGGAGTTAAAAAGGTCAAGGTCATATTGGTAGCCATGGATGCTTGTTTCAGCCTTTCTGAAGCTATGGGGCAGCATGAAGCTGAGATCTCCCAACTATAAGATGCCATCAGTTGTGTGATTCATCTTATTTTCAGATACGTTAATTGTGGGGAAGTAATGAATTAGAGTTAGTCCTCTAAGGTCCTGCTGAAGGACATCAGATTAAAAAATAACTTGAAGAAAAATGCTGCTTTCATATATGTCCGAGAAAATGTCCTTAAGATAGACTTTAAGGGTAAAGAAAGAGTTGGCAGTTTTATTCATATGTATATAAATAAGTGCTTGGAAACAGTTGCCAGTCAATTCACCAGTCCAATGGTTCATTATGCCTTCCTCCCATCATGCTTTTCCCAGTGTGTACGGCATGGTCCTCTTGTCTTCAACCTTTCAATGCCATCTTTTCTATACATCTCAAGCATATATAAGTTGAAACTTTTTAGATATTGTCATTAAAGATGTTTGCTCTATTACATAAACTCAAGCACATAAACCAAGCATGAAAAGCCAAAACATTGGAAGGGATATTCTTGGGCTGGTAGAATGCCTCAGCAGGTAAAATCTCATACATGCGTT